ACAGTCTACTTTACGAAACACTCACGACGAACTTTCTGTAAATTTTTACACGACATGAAACGTCAACAATTTTCAATTCTGACATTTTTTTAGTTATCTAAAGTGTTTGAAGAAATATCACGTGTCCAGGTGTAAGCTAGCGTAACATTTTAAGGAACTTGTAATTTTATTTATTCATAACATAAAAAGGATGCTCTTGAGTAAAATTCAAAGCATTGCCGCTGTTGTAAACTGCCCTATCACTATAAAACCAGGTGTCAAAATGGCGATTAGTCTCACACTAACTTGTATTTGTAAATTAACTCTGTTCAAATGTAATTTAATTTCATTATTGGCTTATCTGCAACACGCTATTCTTCGTGCATTCACTTCCCGCTTTATCGATGGTCTGACACGCGGTAAAATATGACCCTATTAATAACTCTTCATAATCTGATGCAGTGATTATGATGATTTTTGTTGGGCCCAAAATGGAAGATTCCTCCGAAATGAAAATGTGACACGGTCGTCAACAACAGAGCTAATGGAGGTTATTCTGCAAAACAACCTGTTAATTAACAGCACACCAATCCGTATAAATAGGCAATGTTCCCGTCGAATGTAAGCCGACGAACGTTGAAACCACATAATTTATTTCAGGAGAATATATATATATTGATCTTACATACCAAATAAGAATTTTGGTATCTCCATTATTCAGTTATAAAACACTTTATTTCCTTGAATACTTTAGTTTTACAAGATTTTGAATGGATAAGAACACAAAACAAACAAACAGGCATGGTCTACAATAGTACTACGTAGTCTCTCACTGTTGGCAAGAAACTCGGAAGTCTGTGCCAAAAGAGAATCTTTTGAATCTTGGAATATTACACCAGGTACATTAGTTTGTAATAGGTAAAATAATATAATATGTCTGTCTGTCTGTCCATCGTTATTTTCAGCCTAATAGGTCGTGCTGCCATGTATCAGTTATAGTATGAACTATTTGATTTTTTAAATTACAATGATGATTATTAAGTGATAATCTGATAATTTTTTTACATGATTGTTTAATTATTCTGGATATTATTAGCTGATGTTTTGATGAAAATTATGGTATATTATTAATTATGATTTGATGACTGACGAATGTGATGATTATATATTACACTAGATTGTATTATTGCATAATTTTATATTTGTTTCGAGTATCGACCAACATTTCATATTTCTATGTTCTTTAGTAATTAGAGTAAAAGGCAGAAAATCACAATATTTCACACACGAATGCCATGCATTAATTGCAAGGAATGTATTATAATTTCTGTGAATATTTACCAATAAGCAGTAGCAAATTTGAAATGGGTTTTGCAAAGTTGTGTACTTCGGGATGCCCCTTTATAAGTTGTTGTAAAAACGGATACCATTACGACATCCGAACGCAGGCATTAATTCCTAGAAGAAATCTCGTGTTGTGAAGGGACACGCTATTTTACAGGAACCTTGAAAAATATAAGGGCATTAACAGCTGCTGCCCTGGAAATGGCGTCTTTAAACCAGAACGCCTTCCCATCTGCCGCGTAGAATTATATGATCCCAGACTTGAGACAATTTACAGAGCCATTAACTAATTTTATATGTATCACATATCACATTATTTGTTCTAGCATTCATTTTCCGTTACAGGTAAAGAGGAGGACTGCTTGTTATTTAGATGTTTTCTAAAATCAAATCACGTCTTAAGACAATTCCAAGGATAAAGGAAATCTTAAGATTTGCTACAAGATTTTACCACATGCACCACAAAGTAGGAAAAAGATCGGTGGAACTCGATCTGCCACTTCGTTCACTCAATGAGGGAGTCTGAAGACATCTTTGATATAAAGTTGTATCGGACAGGCATTTATGCTTACTTATGAAGCAGGCCTCTGCCCCTGCTCCTTTCATTTTCCAAGCCCCCGCGAGGGGTGGAGGGCCCCAGTCTTTCGCTTTGTCTTCTGGAAAATTTCTGCTTACTTTTATTGGTAGACGAACGTTATACATTGTGGCCAAATATGAAGAAACACCTGGAAATTTGCTCAGGTTACATTTCTGGTAGATGAAAAGTATTTTGAGGACCATTTTCATTTTTCACGTGTGACCACAATATTTGTTCATCGCTTCCGATTTATTTATTAATATTACACTCCAATTTCCTCTCTTGTCTTGTAAAAATTACTGAGGACGCGATCACTACGTCCGACTCTTGTGATGCCTGTCATCTGGGATTGTACGTTATGTAGTCCGGTAAAAATTAGCCAACGTTTCAGAGGTGCTACCTGCCTCCATCATCAGGCCTTGGCGACAGCAAAGAATGTAAATTGGAATAAACGTTTTGAAAAATTCGCATCAGCAAGGTTCCTGAAACTTGCGGTTTGAAGTGAATCTCCGTTCATTTGTGGAATCACTCGGCCGAGTCATGGAAGTCATCAGCTGCATTTGTCTTGTTCAAGCGATGGGTGGAAATCCATTCCGCTCAGGCCTTCGAAATCCTTGTTGGATGCTAATGGCTCTTCGGAGAACCTGTTCAGGAGCGTGAGGGGTTGAAAGCAGAGAGCGAGCTATAGTCTCCGCACCAAGGGGCAACAACCTCACGATATAGCCACTAGATGGCAGTATGTGTTAAACTGTATTTATTTAAGAATATTAAAGTAATGAAGAGTTTAATAATAATTATTTAAATTCTAATGATGTGTGTAAGCTTTAGTTTTTTCGATTTGCATCTGGTTCATTTTAATGTAGCAAAGAATGACGAAGCATAATGCTGAAGTTTAGCGTCGAGGAACAAAGGCCGGTGACAGGCGATGTCGGAAAGAGCATTTAACGTCCGGAAATGTTTTAAATGGTATCGCTTCTCGGCCTTTTGGGCTTAGATCAAAGTGTAGTATGCTGCGGGCCGTGGTGGGGCGGCGCGTGCGCCGTGCTGTGCAGCCATGCGACCTGGTGGACTACCTCAACGGCCGCCTGGACGGTGACTTCGCCAGTGAAAGTGTCGAGGTCACCAACGTCTGGACGCGCCTTCGGACCGCCACCAGGCGCATCAGGCCGAAGATGGCCGTGGGGTGGGCCCTCGACGCCGACCAACAGCCGCAGCTGCAGCTCAACGCCTCTGCCCTGCAAGTAAAGGATGCGGAGGCCGCGCTGACACATGCCATCAGGGGCTATTTCCGGCAACGCCTGCTCAACAAACCTGATCAGGGCAAGGTCTACGCGGTGACGAGTGCCTCGACGCCGCCAAACCATTTTATGCGGAGCGGGAATTTTACTCGCTTCGCGGAGTGGCGGTTCGTGCACCGAGCCCGCCTCGACTGTGTGCCCCTGAACGGGTCCCGGCGCTGGGGGAACGGGGTGAAGGCGTGCCGCAGGTGTGGGTATGAGAACGAGACCCTGCCGCACGTCCTGAACCACTGCAAGCCGCACTTCGCCACCATCACCCGCCGTCACAACGCGGTCCTTGGTCGGCTCGTCAAGGCGCTCAAGCCTTCGAGCGGGACCACGGTCCGCGTGAACCAGACCGTGCCAGGTTTCAACGACGGTCTTCGGCCCGACCTCTTTATTCTTAATGAGGCGGAGAAGACCGCCGCGATAATCGATGTGGCTACGCCGTTTGAAAATCGGTACGCCGCATTTGAAGCCGCGCGGAATGGCAAGAAGGTCAAATACGACCACATTGCGAGCCACCTGCGTCAGCAGGGCTACGATGTGGTCGTAGATGCATTCCTCGTAGGGGCGCTGGGTGGATGGGACCCGGCGAATGAGCGGCTCATCAGTCAGTTGCGCCTTAGACGCCGCTACTGCCATCTGATGCGGCGCCTAATGTGCACGGACGCTATCCGCTGGAGCAGGGACATCTACGTCGAGCACGTGACGGGTCAGGCAATACGCCGAAGGCCGAGCCAACCCTGACGGTGCGCACGATGTGGATGTGCACTTCTCTGGCGGGGAGCGGTAACCCCGCCCCCCTTTGTGTTTTACCAAGACTTACTATGTCAGTGACATATTGGGTGTTTCGACATATGTCCATGAACCAATGACCGCATCAATGTATGTGTGACAATTATGAGAGTCTAAAAACTGTGTAGAGTGTTAAGAGGTGGAGATATGTACCACCTAATTGATGTTTTATATTACCGATTATTGTATTTCTTTTAAGCATTCTCTAAATAAAGTTAATCTGTTCTTATCAGCTTAATATCTGATACGTCCTGCATCGCAGGACCAGAATATTAAACTGATTTTTGGAAAATGACGGAGTGCTAGGAGCTTGCTCCACCTCTGTCACGGGTTGGCCCGGTATTGCAGTACCTCCGGGATCGGCCCACTTTAAACTACTCATTATTAGCTTTATGTTTATCTGTCATTATCGTTTATCAACGATTTATGATAATTCTTCAGTTGCTGTTACTGTACTTTGCGGGAAATCACTTTTTCGCTATATCCAGGTGGGCAGTATGGTAATCAAAGTAATGCAAGTAATTAAGGCCCTGTAACTCATCAGGATATCAATTAGATATTACAACAGTTTTTAACGTTTCGTAGATTTCGTTTAACTATTTTCGTTTTCCGATACGCGGCGGAAGTTCCGGTACAATCAAGTGTACACGTAATTAAGCCCTGCAACTCGTAATTATCCACTGTAAGTGACAGTGTGAGGTAGTTAACAACCAGAAAATATAACAGTGGTTTGTACACTGGGTCCACCAATAGCACAGAGAACGAAGCTTTGATGCCAGAAATAGTCAATGCCAAAGACGACAAACAACATTTCTCTCCTAGTTTAAGTTTGTGTATGGACGGTGAATGAATTATTATATTAGGTAGTTTATTCTTTCCGCGATAGACTACTACGATGCATTCGTTCGATATTTAAAATCAGTGAGCAAGAGATCAGAAACCTAAGAGACGGCAAATGTTACAAGCTCCTAGGGTTGCCAGTTCGATTCCAGATCACGAGGCAGAAGACACATCGCAGTGGTGAGCAGGGTTAGAATATAGAGGGGTGTCCAAATATAGGGTATTGCGGACATGTAAAATTATAGGATATTCGCCGGTTCCAATTAAAAGTGTCCAGGATGTAGGGGTGTCCAACTAGAGGGGTTTTACTATATTTAAGAAACTGTGTGACAGCATGTTCTGAGTTCAATTCCGGAAAGGCTACCTGAGATGGTCACGAACTGGACTTTAAGTTGTAAATCCGGTTGTGTGCTATGCGGACTGGTGTCTGGCAAGCGAAGTGCTTTTGACAATAGGAACCGCAGTGGCGGATGTATAATCCTTACCCCAAGCCAGAGGTGCGTTGGTTCACCTGGAACAACAATGGTTACAATCAAAGTATTTAATTGGAAGAGAAATTTTCTTCAAAATATCCCACCAGAAAAATGAGGCTGCCTAGAATTCAAGTAAATACGTATTGTATTTGTTTTGGTACTGCTGTTCTTGGTTACGGCTGTTACTTTGATGTAATTTCTTACCTTGTGAATAGCTAAACATCTAACAGATGAACAACAGTTTGGTGCCTGTGTCACTGTCCACTCAGAACCGAGGTAGCCGCTGTGAGGGTTCCGTATCCATAGCAACACGGCACAGTGTCACCATCACCATCCACAGACTGGATTTCCCTTCAGGACATGTCTCCAGAGATTCTCGCCTACAACACAACAGTAAATGCCTTGCTACTATTTCACTTTACGAAATGTTGTACTCTTCACCATGTACTGTTAGGACGATCAAATAAAGGATGATGAAGTGGGGGGAGGGAGTTACATAGCGCGTATGGGGGAGCTGAGAAATGCGTACAAAATTTTGGTTCAAAATGGTCCACTGGACTACGTTATAATAAAGGAGAAGGTGTGGAGGAACTAAATAAACAAAAGCAAAAACTGAAAATATGTACTGGTCAGTGTCTGTGTAGTGTATGTATGGGACATTATTCTTATTCTTACCAAAAATACATTAGATATGTACTGTGCAATGTTCTTTTTTTTTTTAGAAGTAAATACCTATGCCCTTACTAAACGGATATCTGATACGAATAAAAAATTATATATTTTGGAATTCCGTTATAAGTGACTTTCACTGTAAAACTGAAAGCGATATACAGAGAAAGTCTGGAGCACTTCCCCCCCCCCCTCACAACCCTGAAAATTATGTCGTAACGGAAAACACCGAGGAACACTGAACAAAACGTGCATAAATTATTTAATGTCTTCAACAACGTCTGCAAAAACACAGACCTTTCTAGCTTCAAGGCAAAGGGTCTTCCTTGAAAACCTACCAGTCGCTGAGAAGGTCTAGACATTCCCCAATTTTGTGGAATCTGAATATTCGTAGTCTTCTTCGCAAAAGCCCGCATTCTTGTGTTAATCCTTTATCTAATCTTAATTAATCCGACTAATCAGTCCCTTTTATGTTTCCCAATCAAAATTCTTTATACATTTCTCATGTTTCTGTGCTTCGAACAACCCTGTCTTTTATAGCCACTAACAATATTAGCAGAAGCTAATTAAGGGTAATTTTCGGATGTTGTTTTTGTTTCTTCAGAATATTTTCATCGGAAATGTTTTGAAATACGTGTAATATACTGATGACAGATTCCTTTTCAAGAAAACACTCCAGCCGCGTGGATTTAGTTCACGCCATTTCAGATCACGTTCCTCAATGCGTCAAGGATCACGTACCCGCTAGGCATACTGTTACGAATTGTTTATTTAAACTGCTAACAGATGGCACTGTAGAAGTGCTACATTATCACCATCTGGTGGAAACAAATCACAAACACGATAATCGCATTCACGAAATTATGTTGCTGAATAAAGTTGAATTCATTCCATGAATGTGATGATAATTATAACGTCGTCAAATCAGTACGAGCTCTGACCACTTCTGCAGTACGTTCAGGCGTACCGAACCGATAATAGCGGGATGCAGCATCGAAAACATCGCGCGTGAACATAACATCAAGTTACAAATTACTGGTTGTCGCTGGGAGTGGTGGCGTACTCCTGTAATCCAGCTACTTGGAGGCTAGATGTTGAGGATGATTTGAGGTCGGGAGTTCTGGGTGCGCTGAATCTGTAGTTGGCTGGGCGTCCGCTCCAAGCTCGGCATCAATTTGGGCACCCCGGGTGAGCCCGGGGATCCCGGGGTTCGCCAGATTTGCCAAGGAGGGGCGCAACGGGCCATCGGAGATACATAGCAGCCATAAGTCCCACTAAATGGTGCAGTAGAGCGATCGCGAATAAAATCAGACACACATCTTTTTTCGATTATTTATCTAACTTTTTTTTTTTTTGCAAGATATTTGCAAGGTTATGTTACATAATGGCTTACAAGATAAATGCGCACATGATAAAAGCCCACACGAAAATTCCGCACAGAAAAAAGCCCACTGTCGTAAATGCTCGCACGAAAAATAACCACACGGATAGAATCTTCTGGGGCAATCAGCCGCGTTAACTGGTTACCACATTAAACCGACGTTTCGGGAATATATTCAATACAATCTTCTCGGGCAATCAGCCGCGTAAGCTGGTTAGTAAACCGACGTTTCGGGAATGAATTCAATAGAATCTAGATTTCAATCACAGGCGAGGACCCAGTTGTATGAGGATCGTTTCGACAGAAATTCGAATGAAAGAATGTCGTCACACTTCTTAAAGTATTCGGTATTGGCCGGCAATTTATCGCCTAAGTTGACCGAGTTGGAATTAGTCGACGCAATAGTGGGGCACTTCCCGCTTTATGCCCAAGGGGCTCTTTTGTCGGCTGGTGTAAGAACTATACAAGAAGGGTTAAAAACAAGGGAGCAGACAGATTCAAGTAGAGGGGGGCAGAGCTCTGGTCCACCTCAGAACAGGCCCAACCAAGGTCATTCATCCGGTCAGAACCGATATGATGGTGGCAGAGACAAACGTAAGAATCATTACGTGAGGGGTGTACATTCTCCGATCAACCAGCGTTTCCGCGGAGACGAGAGTTACCAGAAGAACTACGCGCGCCGTGAACCACATTGAATTTCTCACTTGCGTGATTCACGTCACGCACTCCCAAATTTTCATCTCCTAGCCTCGGACTCAGTTTCGGACCTGGGTTCCTACCCTCATTATTGGATAATGTTTGGCTCTCTACATCATCCTGCTGTCGTTTTCCGAATGATTTCGGCTGTTGTTTTGATCATTGTCCGGCCTCTGCCCTCCGCCGGGGTCGAAAGTGTGGTCATAATCCGACGAGACCTCGTACACTGCGGTGCACCGCTGCTTAGAACACGGATCACTAATCGCCTTTACCGCGATTGGTAACTTCAATGATTCTGGGACAGACTTCAAACGATAGTAATCGTCCAGCTCCTGCAAGAATTGCACTACGTTCTGTCTATGACAATCGAAAAATTTTGGCAACACAAAGTCGTTCAAAACGTGGTTGGGGCTCTGAGGATGGGTTAGCTCGGCAAGTTCACGCGGTCTGTGTGTCTCACCGTCAGCATTACCAATAGTGGCTGTCACAACAGGCACATGGTCACTACTGCTACAATGGTTGATTAACCTACAATCACATTCATCCATCATCCTCTCACTCACATTCTTATTTACGCTCTCTGTTACATCAGCTATTTTCTCGTTCTTTCTCTCAATTTGTTGCCGAGTATCTTGCCGCAGGGTAGCCACAGACTCCTTGAACTCACTGATTTCATCTCTCATCTTTGTAAGAAGCTGCTTGCTCGACCTATCTATTTCAGACCTGAAATCTTTCGACAACTCCTCTCGCAGGTTTTTAAAACGTTCGTCTATCCGTCTTTCACTTTCTAACCTACTTTCCTCGTTTTTCTGTATGGCCTGCCAAATCATAATCAATAATTCTGCCGGTGGGACCTGACTGATCGTT